GGGGGGGGGATTCAAAACATTATGCTTCACAGGGAGATTATATAAATACTTTAATTGATTTTATATAAAAGCTTGCAGCACTGTTTAAAAGGTAAAAATTAATGATATTGAAAAAAAATATTTGATGCTTTTCTCGGATTTTTGGTTAAGAATGGGAAAGAATTTTTATTTTATTTTTCTCACATGCAGTTTTAACCTTTTGGAGTAAGAAAAAAAAAACAGATGACAGTATTCTTTTAATGTAAGTATGCACAGATTCATATTACGTTACTGATTGCTTTAGGTTTGTACTACAGTACGTAAGTTACATAGTGTATGACCAAAGTAATAATGGGTTTTAGGAAAGAGTACTAAGAGTGGCTAAGATCTTTAACAGCAACCTTAGAACAAAGTGTGTTTCAAAACTAATATTACACGATTTGAAAGCTTTTCAGAAGCTATATACGCAACAATATGGAAGATTTCTAATTTCTATATCTTTGCAACCTAATTGTAAATCTTTAATAGAAAATAAAATCTTTGATAAAATGGTGAAACTTAGACTATTTGATCTGTCAAAATTGATCTATATATATACTTTGCTGGTCTGTTTGTTTGTGTCTAAAAACCTTCAAAACGATTCAACCTATCGGGCTCAAATTTTTGAGGGACTTCACATGTCACCAGGAAAGGTTTATGGATGATAAAAATTTCAAAATCAGCCTCAAACTAAACTCGAATGTGATTTAATTTTGAAAATCCGCGAACATTCGCTTTGTTTTTGTTTTACAATGTACACAAAGCGAAAATGTTCACGATCAAAATAGAATATTGGCTCGAAGTGTCCAGAAAACCTTATAGTTCAAAATAATAAAGGTCTCCGACTTCGTTTTAAAGAATAAAAAATCATTGTCTGTGGCAAAAAATTTAGTTCTGTTGTTACAAATTTGTCTCAGTACTGTTTACCGAGACACCCTGTATATTGAAAATTATGTTCGTCCGGGTGTATGTATTCAACTATATTTTCAGTTTTGTGGACGAGTGAAAAACTTGACATGCTATTTAACGTCTGGTGGATTTTTCTCAATTTGCTGACAAGAATTGAAACCTGGAGTATATATTGTTGAATTCCCCCAAGTTAATTTGCCGCCAAGTGGCGGGTAAAGGGGGCGGGGCAAAGATGGCGGTATTTATACGCCCGGCCCGATCCAACATTGAATAGTCAGATAACGAACATTCATTCAAATGGTTCTAAACCATCACTCTATGGTTGACAGTGATCTAGGTTCGGATCATGCTAGTATCCGGATATCCGGTATGAAGAGTGAATCCGCATCTATGTGCTCCAGTAGCCGGATTCTGTACGATGTACCTTGTAAGGTATGTGGAGATTACTCCTCTGGAAAGCACTATGGTATATTTGCTTGTGATGGCTGTGCAGGCTTCTTTAAAAGATCAATAAGACGAGGACGAGAATATTTGTGTAAATCTAGAGATGGAGGTTCATGTAAGGTGGATAAGATGCATAGGAATCAGTGTAGAGGATGCAGGCTCAACAGATGTTTAGAGGTTGGGATGAATAAAGAGGCTGTTCAGCATGAACGAGGACCAAGGACTGCAACTATAAGACGTCAGATGGATTTAATGATTGGAGAAAAATCCCCCGTTTCATCTTCTCAATATCTTCCTATTAACCCTACATTTTTCCCCATGTACAGACCTAACATTTCCCCTCCTCTCTTTTCCTCATCTCCGACCCGCCCAACATCTGCCACGCCCCCTTCTCCGCCTCAACCTGCCTCCGTTACTTGTGAAATCGCTGCCCGCCTTTTATTCATAAATTCTCATTGGATCCAAACCCTACCCTCCTTTTCTAACTTATCTACGGAGGAAAGGTCTGAAATGGTTTCTCAGTCCTGGAAAGATTTATTTCTCCTGAGTTCAGGACAGTATTTAACCTCTGCAGATATCTCCGGTTTAATCCCGACCTCGGAGCAGGTTTCGGAGAAGGATCTTCAGGATATGAGAAGACTAAAGGATCTTTTATCCCGGATTCATGAGACCGACCTGGATTCCACAGAGTTCGGTTGTATCCGAGCAATCCTTCTTTTCAAAGCAAACCTAAACCTACCTGGAGTACCGGATTTACTCAACCAAACCCAGGGAACCCTGGCTAGATATCTAGCTCTAGCTAAACCAGATCAGCATCTCAGGTTTCATCAGGTCCTACTCCTTCTCCCTGGGTTCAGTTCTGTCTCCTCCTCTACCATACAACACCTATTCTTTAAATCTACAATAGGAGAAGATGTACTAATTGATAGAATAGTTATTGATATTTTCAAATCCTCTGCTTTCTCAAAGACTGAACCAGATTTAAATTAAGTCAGAAGTGGCATTTAACCATGAACTTAAAATTTAAGTCAAAACTTTTCGTTCTTTAGTTTTGGACTCTGCACGCTTGATTTTCAAAATCAAGATTTGTAATTTTACGTCAAGTAAAAGCGGAAATTTGAACAGAAAATGTAAAATATCGCTTCAATGCATAATCTCGTCAAAACCTTTGAAAACAGTTCAAGCAAAAAGATTTTATCCAACATTGGCTAATTGGTAATTGTGTACATAAAATTTTCTACTTATTTTGAAATATTTTCAAAGATTGCTTGACAAATTTTAACTTTTTTAGTTATTAGTGAATAGTTTGTACTTTAAAGTAAAATATTGCTTTTATTTTTAGTAGTTTTACCTTAATTCTTTACCACAAGTTATAAACTTTTAATCGTAATATCTTTGCAACCTGATAACTTTGACATTTTATATTTCTGTTAGTCCATATANGGGGATCGAAAGTACATCTCTAAGCGTTACACACTGAATTAGACAGATGGAGAAGTTCAAATATGTGTGACATTACTGGTAGGACTTTGTGACCTCGTAGCTCCTCTAGTTTTAATTTTACGCACACGTATGAGAAAAGCAAGTTTATACGATTACATATTTCTTCAAACCATTTTTGTTCTTCTCAGTAGATTTTTAATAAAGGGATTCAAAAACATGTAAGAATTTTATCTTGCAATAAAGGTACTTATGTTTGCCAAAAAGTTATAGACAGTTTATTTCGCCGCTTTGTTTCATCCTGTGATGGTGTAAACCATTGATATTTCAAACTTTAATTATTTTATCTAATAAAATTCATAGTTTGAAGCATCAAAGGTTTGCGATATTGAGTTGCTATGATATTGGGATTCGAAACTAAATTTCTTTTAGTGAATATTTTGATAAGATACATTGATTGAGTTCAATGTACATATATAATATATACCTTTAATTTTCACTCTTTGTTTAAAACATTTCCTTTTCTTTGCTTGGAAATGATTTCTCATGCCCAAAAATCAATTATCATAATTTCAATATCTTTGCCACCTGATAATGTCAACTTTGATTGAATTTGATATAGTAGATCAGGTTGAAAATCAAACAAGATTAGGTTGAAGGAATTATAGAACATTAGATGACGAAGAATAATCAAATCCTGTGTTTAATTTTTACATACAAATTACTTTTAGATTTAGTAATTTTCTTATGCTTGATTTTAATGCATTCATATGACCTTCTGAACTGTCCCTTAGAATTGCATGTTGAAAGGTCCCCCTGTAACTCCTGTAAGTTTACCCCCTGTAAACTCCTTTAAGTTTACCCCCTGTAAACTACTGTAAGTTTACCCCCTGTAAACTCATGTAAGTTTACACCCTGAAAACTCCTGTAAGTTTACCCCCTGTAAACTCCTGTAAGTTTATTACCTATAAACTGCTGTAAATTTACCCCCTGTATACCCCGTGTAAGTAAACCCCCTGTATACCCCGTGTAAGTAAACCCCCTTTATACCCCGTGTAAGTAAACCCCTGTATACCCCGTGTAAGTAAACCCCCTGTATACCCCGTGTAAGTAAACCCCTGTATACCCCGTGTAAGTAAACCACTGTATACCCAGTGTAAGTAAACCCCCTGTATACCCCGTGTAAGTAAACCCCCTGTATACCCCGTGTAAGTAAACCCCCTGTATACAATGTGTAAGTAAACCCCCTGTATACCCCGTGGCCCGTGTAAGTAAACCCCCTTGTATACCCCGTGTAAGTAAACCCCCTTTATTCCCCGTGTAATTAAACCCTCACTAACAAACAAAACTATTGATAAATGCATGTTTGCCTTTTCAGTGTCCAGTTTATACAGTATCTAATATACACTAGGAGTTGAAATGCAAACCTAAGTTTAAACATTGTCTTTTTAATTTTCCATTTTTCATAAAAAATAAAAAATAAAATAATTTTTTTTCACTATAGTCGGATAACTAAAGATTAAAAATTGCGCGGGAATAACCAGTATTGATAATTGAATAACTCTACCGCGCGTTTGGACAGAGTGCGCGCGGACGCATGACCAAAACGAACTGATCTCTTACTAAACTTCCGCACATATGTCCAAGCACTCTTTCTCCCTCTCTCTCTGTTTCTATCCCCGGTGCTCCGCGACGCTTGACGCCGTTAACGTCTCTAGGAAATATGATAAATTAAACCTGTGTACTGTAGATATATTCCCCACCTCTTCTAAATACAACTTTTCCAACTGGTCGACGAGTACTGTTTAAAGAGAGTGTCTTTTTTATTCAAAGTGATCTTCTATTTCAAGATTGCCATGCCTGATTCACAACTAAGGACTGTTAATCGTTTTGGTTCTTTTTTTAGGGCTTTAGGACTTTTTAAAGGTTTCACAATAATTTGATAAGTTTTACAAATTTAAAATTTGTTTACAATTGTTTTTTATATTATGCCAAATGTTGACCCCGAGAGAAAATAAACCAAAAACGATTTTTGATTAGCATAAAAATATTGCAAAATCTAATGAAAGCAAACAGATTACAGATTTGAAATGTTGGAAGTTTTATTAAAAGTATTCTAAAAAACATAACAAAATAAATAAATTTAATTAACACAACGATACCATTTAACCATTACATTCAATTTTATATTTTAAAAAGCGTTTACTTTGTAAATAACGTTATTCCGTAAAATCTGCATTCCAAGCTCTTTGTAGGGAACTCACAAATGGAAATTATCAATTTTTAGAAAGAAAACTAAAGGTATTTTTCTTAATTTTTTAGCACACAAAGGTTTGAGGGTACAGTGGTGAAATTGGGCATTTCATTAAATAACTCATGAAATAGATAAATGTTTTCTTCGAGAAATAGAAATAGATAGAAAATAACTTTTAAGTTTTAACAGTTGCATGTTAACGAGGAAACATTAAAGATATATATATAAAATTCAAGTGTAATAGAATTGCCCTGTTGCCCTTGAACTTACTGACATTTTTCTAAATTTTAAAAAGTGTCCGATACCCCCCCCTCCCTTCTTTACACGTCCGTGCTTACAATTGACATTGTGACATACTTTAAACCTTAACTCTTAAGTAATATATTACGTAAACCTAGATAGATAGATAGATAGTTCTCATTAGCTTAGTGACCATACAAATATTATAGATCTAGAAAACTGATATAAGTTATATATCTACTTTGAGCACAAAAGTTAAGAAGAAAAAATATCTTTAATAAACAGTATGAACAAGCAAAAATATCTTTAATAAACAGTATGAACAAGCAAAAAATATCTTTAATAAACAGAATGAACAAGCAAAAAATATCTTTAATAAACAGTATGAACAAGCAAAAAATATTTTTAATAAACAGAATGAACAAGCAAAAAATATCTTTAATAAACAGTATGAACAAGCAAAAAATATCTTTAATAAACAGTATGAACAAGCAAAAATATCTTTAATAAACAGTATGAACAAGCAAAAAATATCTTTAATAAACAGTATGAACAAGCAAAAAATATCTTTAATAACAGTATGAACAAGCAAAAAATATCTTTAATAAACAGTATGAACAAGCAAAAATATCTTTAATAAACAGTATGAACAAGCAAAAAATATCTTTAATAAACAGAATGAACAAGCAAAAAATATCTTTAATAATCAGTATGAACAAGCAAAAAATAGCTTTAACAAACAGTATGAACAAGCAAAAAATATCTTTAATAAACAATATGAACAAGCAAAAAATATCTTTAATAAACAGTATGAACAAGCAAAAAATATCTTTAATAAACAGTATGAACAAGCAAAAAATATCTTTAATAAACAGAATGAACAAGCAAAAAATATCTTTAATAATCAGTATGAACAAGCAAAAAATAGCTTTATCAAACAGCATGAACAAGCAAAAACCGCATTCCTTTTTATCCAATTAAATCATTTTAACAATTGGTCTGAAACTTGAGGGTCACATGATTTCAGAAAAAAATGAAAGGAACGAAAAACAAGATTTAAGAAAATGTAACTTTATAAAATAATGGGTGTTACTAAAAAAAACCACACAAAATGTAAATTTTTATTTATTGGGGCTAAAAATGGTAAATTCAAAGATTATAAATATACCAATTTAAAGGTTTCATATGGCTTGACGTTTTTTATCACTCATTAGTCTCTATTTTTATCTAAAACGAACTTTGGTTGACATGGAATAATTAATTAATTAATTAATTAATTAATACAATATCAATTTCTTTGTAACTTTAGTCAGGGTTATCACGTCTTTTTTAAACTTGCTTATATCATTTAATACTTTCTCTAGGTTAGCCATGTCCTTAAGAATGCTCAGAAAGTTCTTAAAGACAAACATTTGGCATTTTGGTGGTTGGAAGACCAAAATTTTTCATAGAGTTGAAAATCTCTTTTTCAGCATTTGTGGAGGTGAACTCCTGAGAATGTAGCTCCATCATCCTAGCGCACTGTTTCGATTTGAGTTTGTCCATCTGTATTTTTTGTGGCCATTACTTAAACTATGGCAGATGGCTTGAATCCAGATTTTTTAAATGTATGCCATGCAATATAGTTGAAAATACATACTGTAAGTATACTCATGAGCATGTTATTTGATAATCAAATTCATCAACAAACCAATATTAATTTCATTATCCTTCAGGTCATCAAACAGAATAATTTCAATAGAATTTTCAAGTTTTGGTATTAAATATGACAAATGAAGCCTATGAACATAGAGAATAGAATATATAGAGAGGAATTTACTAGAAAAAAGTGTAAAACGGCCATTTTGTTGTCCTGTTTCCATACTGCAGGTGTACTTCACATATTTATGCTATATAACCTGTTGGGCCCTGGAATATCATTTTATAGAAAATCTAAAATTATTGTTAAAAGAAAGCCAAATTATGAAATAGGCTGGTTTCATAACTGACCAATTTGATCATTTCACATAGACTCTATGCCTTCCACTTTACAAACGATGATTTTCCGTTATAACTA